TTCGTACATGGAACAATACAGGAACATCTACCATTTTCGCCATTTGACTTAATTCAGGACAGGTTTAATGTCTTGCATATTTTCATAAACTTAGTGAAAAATGTGGGTCCTTATAGCATAAAAACGTTATATATTAGGACACACATATATTTCATATAAAACATTACTTGTGTTTCCACTTCGGAAACATCGCATTAAAAGAGAAAATACGTTTTTAAATACTGCATAGATTCATAACGAACAAAAAGAACTCAAATCAAACAACAAAATGAAAAATAATTGTGTAATGAAAGTTTGGACAAACAGTTGAGTTTTACTGATCAAGCAACGGAGCAGATGTTTTCGTCTTTGTATCGATATCCGCTTTTGTTACGACAAAACCGGTTTGCCGTTTTCAATTCTTCGTCTTCTTCCCAGAATTTACTTTTTAATAACCCAACATGATGCGGTCTGTTTTCGTACTTATGTGGTCGACCATCGATTGAATTATATTTGTGTAAAAAAATAAATAAATAAAACGGTAAGATTCTTCATCTCCCCGCGGAAGTATTAAGGAAAGGACAGCAAACATAATTTTTTTTTTCTTTTATTCACCAACATTATTATCAGTATTATTATTATTAGGTCTCCCGTTTTATTGTTAAGAAGAAAAAGACCAATGATGGATAGAAGACTAATAATATATATATATATATATAGATAGATAGATAGATAGATAGATAGATAGATAGATATACATATACATATATATATGTGTGTGAGTGTTTGTGTGTGTGTGTAATGAAATGGACTAAGTCCGACAATTACTTTAATATATTTTCTGTATATACGTTTATATATATATATATATATATATATATACATATGTTATTATATATATTATTATTATTATTATTATTATTATTATTATTATTATTATATATATATATATATATGTATATATATTCTGTTTATACGTTTTTAATTATAATTATTTTCGAACTTAATTCATTTCATGATATTTTGATGTACACACACAGATATATATATATATATATATATATATATATATATATATAGTATTAATGAGATAAAATGAGTCATTTATTGTCACATATCGATGCAATATTCAGCAATTCTCCTCAGGAGTTTCTTAGACGAACTGTTTATTTATTAATCGTTCTGTCCTTTCCTTAGAGGCTTATATATATATATATATATATATATATATATATATATATATATATATATATATATATATATATATATATATATATGGTGGCTGTTGCGCGCAAAGTGAGCCTGACCATGTGATATTCAGCCCTTCATTTAAACTCCCCACTACAACACCGCATTCATCAGTTGTGTGAACGGCAGTGGGTCATAAAGCCAGCCATCAATCTGCATTTCTTGTCACATGTGGGGCATATCAAATCACGTTCTGGTGATGGGAGGATACCTTGATCATCATCATTTCCAATGTGACCTTGCATAGACATTACCAGACTCAACTTTTATTTGCACACCCTAATGCATGTCGATCATTCAAAGCATGTCATTACGAAATCGTCATATACTGTTGGTTTTGGTGTGACCTCTAGTGACTGAGCTGACCTTCCCAGGACAGACATATCCGATTGCATTGAGCATATCACCAGGTTGGCACCTCATAGCAATTCAGGGATCCCTTACGAACTTCTCTCTTCAGTTCTGCATATTTTTTTGATGCCACATGGAAGATCTTGACGCTATCAGAATACCATCTCTCCAAGAAACCCGGTTTTCTGCTAGTCTCCCAGTTTTCCAGACCAATATTGCACTTGTATAATGACACTTTAAGGCAATCTTTGTAATGAAGTTTTGGTTTGTGCTGCCGTCTTTTTCCCATTTTCAATTTTCCATACATTTTTTTGATTTGGAATTCTGTCATCCGCTACATGGATAGCATATATATATATATATATATATATATATATATATATATATATATATATATATATATAAGCCTCCTGAGGAGTGGATAGAATGATTAATAAACAGTTCCTCTGAGAAATATATATCTACACACACACGTTGAGTTGACCGATTAAATAGGTCAATGTCTGATCATTACCCTCTCCTTCATCAATATTAATTATTATAATAAAAAGAAATATAAAAATAAATTTAAAAACTCTCCCTTCCCTCTCTAAACTCGACTATGTCTCTCACAACATTCCTCGCTACCTTCTATGTCAACTAGCGTAAGCGTAATTTCATTTTTTGTTTCACCTTTTGAAAGTGAAGTCTGCAGATCCAGAGAAAAATAAAAATTCTCTAGTGAAATAATTTTTTACAAATGGAGCCTTAAAGGTATTACAGCGTTTCGGCCGTTGTATGCCCCTGCCTTCTTCAGATAGTTTTTTTTAAGTTAATTTATTAGCTCTGACTTAACATTGAGCTCCCAGGATTTCATCCTCCTTGGGATTAATCCATTCGGATTGCCAACATTTTCGTTCCTTATATATATATATATATATATATATATATATATATATATATATATATATATATATATATATGTCACTTAGAACATTCTCTTTCCGATCAAATGTTCGATCTTTCAGGAGAGTAACTTTTTCTTGTTGTTATCGGGGACTGAACCATTTGGTGGGAGCCATCCATATGTATTTCAAATGTTGTAATGAATTTTTATTCATTAACTCAACATATGTTTATAATTTTAAGTATTATTTTTAGTGGATGCCTATGATTTAAGGATTTGCATAAAAAAGCACTCTTCAGATATGTTTAGCCGATAATGCTCTTCATGGCCGAGTCGATTAAAAGCACGTCGGATGTTCAGTTGGAAAAGTGGAAGCAGGTTCGAATCCTGCCGGAGAATGCATTTATTATTTAATAAGATTTCTCCAATATTCGTAGATGAAAATAAATGTACTGTTTAAAAAAAATAAATGGAACGTTTACTCAAATTTGAGTATCCACTAAAAATGATATTAACAGTGAAAAATCTATATACATACAAACACGCGTTTTTAATATACATATTTTTCTATATGTATTAGCGTTTTATGGGCAGTACTTATTGGAAGATGATCAATATTAGTGACAGAGTTATGAGGTTGTGACCCTGTGTTTCAAGCTTTGGGGATCATCAGAAAAATTCAATTTATTTTTTTATAAATTGGATCTATTCATGCATGTTTGTATTTGATAATGTTTGGTGATGATTCCTGATCAATCAAAATTCGTAGATAATTATATAGGCCACACTACAACATGTTTGACACGCAGACTCACTCTACACCTTTCTGACCATAGCTCAATTAGATCTCATTTAAATATTCATGGAGACCTACCGGAAAACTATTCGTAACATATTTGGTGACAACACTAATATAATAGCAAATGACGGTTAAGGCACGTCAGGCTATTTGACGGTTCCGTATAGGATACAGGTTCGATTCCTGTCGGAGTACGCATATTTTCTATGACAATTTCTCGGACATTCAGGACGGTAAATGTTGTTAATACTGTTTATAATAAACAGAGCATTTACTTAAATATTTGTATCTATAAAAAGAACGTATAAAAAATGTCTTAAATAATTGTCGGACTTTGTCCATTTGATTATATATATATATATAATGGACTCACCTGTCGCTTTCGACGTATGAGGATCTGACAGCTTATTTGTTCAGTTATGAAATTTTGTGCGATATTCTTAAGTGGCATTTAAGACCCGCTAGTGATTTACAATGGAGGCCGCATAAGGAGCAAGTATGAGAATTGTGAGATGAGATCACTGTTAGATTGGCTGACCTTTTAGATGTTGCTCTCGCTTCTTGAAGATGAGTCAGACAAGCATTTATATATTTATATATATATATAAATATATATAATATATATATATATAATATATACATTATATAAACAAATATATAAAATATTTTTATATATATATATATATATATATATATATATATATAATTATAGTTTGTAATTGTACTATATTCATGGCTTAAATGTTCAATATCAAGAATAGAGCGTTTGTAAATCTAAAATGAGAAATAAATATATTAGCATGAATTCATTACTTTCAGAGAAGTGTTGTTTTTTTAAGAAATTCACCCATTTTTGCGTATGTTAGCTCCAACAAAACTGCTACAGCGAAGCAATTTTGAAATAGTTTCATCTCCCATATCAATAATTCCAAAAATCATAAGAAGAAATAAGTATACGACTTTAAATCCTTTTCTATTCTTGTAATATTTTCAAATTGTTCCCAAAAAAAAGGCGTTTTTTTTTCCAAATATTCTAATTTATGTCATTACGCAATGTTAATTCAGTTACGGCAAATCCTTATTTCAGTTTTTTTTTTTTTTTTTATAGAGGCATTTTTATTACATTCCGAAAAATATATTTCTTTAAAAACTACTTATTTTTATTTCGATTTAGAATAGGAAATTCTTTTTCTGGTGACTGACCTTTGCCAATATCCATTTTAGTTCTCGGGCGATACGCTATCTTTTCTTTTTCTTTTTTTTTTTTTCTTTTTCTTTTTTTCGATCAGGTACCAAGAAGAACAAAATACTGCTGCTTCCAAATCCGGAAAATAGGGACATACAATTAAGCACAGCAAAAAAGACAATTTCTTTCTAAATTAATTCCAGCGACGAAGACATTGCTCTTGTTCAAGATCTCACCGATATTATTCAGGAAATAACTTAAAATAAAAAGATGATGTTTCGAAATACACCTACCAGTTTTTTTTCAATTACCATTAGCATCGTAGACCTAAAGTTGGATCTGGCATGATGTACTTATTGTGAGTATAAATTCTTATGGCGATATGACAAATCACTATTTCGTTTCTCGACTGTCATTTTAAATTCTCTGTTGACAGAAAAATGTATTTTTTTTCTAATTTTAAAATAAATCGATATTTGCCAAGGTGAAACAGAATAGAGTTGTCAAACAGACGCGTCTTAAAATATATTTTTGTCTCTCTCCCCCTTTCCATGTCTCCTTATTTTCTACTAATCAAAATAATACCTTCCCATCTCTATCTATCTATCTATCTATTTGTATCTCAGTCTTTTCATTATCTTTTTTTAAGCACGCAAGGGGTTACAGAAAGTGCGAGCAATATTAAAGAAACGTGATTGAGGAAAAGATATAAAGAAGGACGGGGAGTTAGATCGAGGCATCAGAAGATATCGATTGACATTACATTTGAATTATTGAAGACTATAACTGTCAGAAAAGCAAGTCAGAGGAAAGGAGTTCCACAGACGAGGAGTGCGAGACATGACGCTGTTGGAGTAGAAAAGACGGCTACATTTAACTGTTTCGACAGTGAAAGGGTGCGACTGAGATGCCGACCTAGCAACACGCCTAAATTCATACAGTTTGGGAACTAGTGAAGGTAGTTCGTTGGAGCAGTTGCCATGAAAGTATTTGTAGAAAAGACAGAGGAAATCGACGGCACGTCTGTGAGAAAATGACTGTGGACAAAATGCCAGACCAAGGCCAGCCACATTGTATATCCGTCTCTCGATTTTGTCGTGGACCTTGAGATGAACAGCGGTGCTTCAAGACCATATATGGCAGCAGTATTCCATGCAAGGATGAATGATTGATTTAAAAAATTGAAGGATGAACTCAGTCGAGAAAAAACTTTATTTCGCTACACAGAGAACCAAATTTCCTTGTGGTAGATGAAGCTACTGATTCCATGTATTTGTTTGATCTGAGGTCAGCGGACATGTTAGGACCAAGCGGGCACAGAGAGGAATTGAACTTCAGACATTCTAATGGGAGGCAGAGAGGGTTCTCTATGGTGGGTAAATGAGTTTGTTCTCTATGGTGGGTAAATGAATTTGTTTTTGAGGCATTAAAGTTTACCAGCCAGTTCCTGATCTATATATATATATATATATGTGTGTGTGTGTGTGTGTGTGTGTGTGTGTGTTTATGTGTGCGTGTGTGTGTTTATGTGTGCTTGTGTGTCTAATGTCTGTGTGTGTCTATGTGTGTGTGTGTGTGTGAATAAGAGGCAGTGGAGGTTCTCTGTAGTGAGTAAATGACAGCCGTTTTGTTTTTGAGGCATTAAAATCTAACTGCCATTTTCTGATATATATACATACATGATTGTGTACGTATATATATATACGTACACACAATCATGTATGTATATATATATATATATATATATATATATATATATGAGGAAATATAGTCATAAGGTGTGCTATATTTATGGAATAAAGTGCTCAATATCAGAGATAGAGCGTGTGTAAATATAAAAGTGAACATTGAAGTCAACACTCAGAGGCGACAGGCTGTTTCATGCTAGGCGCAATCGTCAGGCCAAAAGATTGAGATGCAGATAGATTTTAAAAGTAATCGATATTTGCCAAGGTGAAACAGAAGAGAACTGTCAAACAGACGCGTCTTAAAATTTTGTCTCACTCCCCCTTTCCATGCCTCCGATTTTCAACTTATCAAAATAACGCTTTCCCATCTCTCTCTCTCTCTCTCTCTCTCTCTCTCTCTCTCTCTCTCTCTCTCTTTATCTATCTATTTGTTTATTTTAAAATCGGTGGCCTGACGATTGTGTCTAGCATGAAACACCCTGTCGCCTCTAAGTGTTGAATTCAATGTTCACTTATATATATATATATATATATATATATATATATATATATATATATATGCGTGTTTGACTTCCTATATATCTCAATCTTTCCATAGGTATTTATTTCTCGATCTATTTGCGCCTAAATGTTGCTGTTATCTATCTAGCTAGCTAGCTATCGGTCTGTCTCTCGGTCTATTCAATAAGTATTCGGCCTCAAAAACTTTGTGAAACCGTAATTTAATTACGCGCTAACAAATTTACAGAATTAATTTTTCTCTTTCATTAATGAAATTTTCTTTTTCATTAATTATTTTTTTCTTTTTTTATCAAAACTTCAGGTTACCACACAGAAATTATAAATCACATTGACAAACTCGCTTCCTAAATTAATAAAAATGTCTGTCAAATGACATATTCTATATATCATTATGGCAAACGATTTTCTATCTTTTCTTTCCATTGTTAATTATTTCGCATTTTTAAAACTAAATAACTTAAACAGACTTTTAATAGACTATTTACACTTTTCGGAATATTGTCCTCATCTTTAGTCGCCATATTTATTACAACGTTTCGGCCATTGTACGCTCCGGCCTTCTTCTGAAAGGCCGAAACGTTGTAATAAATATGACGACAAAGATGAGGACAATAGTCCGAATAATATAAATAGTGTACATAATACCTCATCTCAGAAATATAGACAGATACTGAAAGGCCGAAACGTTGTAATAAATATGACAAAGATGAGAACAATAGTCCGAATAATGTAAATAGTGTACATAATACCTCATCTCGAAAATAGACAGATACTGAAAGGCCGAAACGTTGTAATAAATATGGCGACAAAGATGAGGACAATAGTCCGAATAATATAAATAGTGTACATAATACCTCATCTCAGAAATATAGACAGATACTGAAGGGCCGGAACGTTGTAATAAATATGGCGACAAAGATGAGAACAATAGTCCGAATAATGTAAATAGTGTACATAATACTTCATCTCAGATACTGAAAGGCCGAACGTTGTGATACATATGACGATATAGATGAGGACAATAGTCTGAATAATGTAAATAGTGTAAATAATACCTCATCTCAGAAATATAGACAGAGACTTTTAATAACTGATTGATTGACTGAGAGATTGAGTTGATTTTTTATGACTTATCAACCCTTTGTATGTTATTTAAAGCCAAAACAATTTTTGGAATGTAAGAATAATCCTTTTCTTTCCTCCGAGTGAATAATGTATTAAAATAGTTTTGAAAATAATAGTAACATTTCCATATACAAGTCCTACGTTTCAACCCATAGCGAGGAGGGGAATAGACACATACCTTTCGTATTGATATTTGTTTCGTATGCGAATATAACGAACCCGACGGATAATTAAGCCGAATACTTTTGTTTTGTCTAGTTTAAAAGTGTTAAACGAAGCAGTAATTTACTCAAATTGCTGCTGATGGTTTAATGTTGCCATTAATTGCATAAATGCTGTATAATTAAATAAAAGGAAAAACTACTTTCGAATATTTAAAACGGGAATGAGACATCACCTGTATTTCTTACATTTTGGAGTCCGTTAATCTGTCTATTTCAAAAGCAGTAATCCAGTAATCCCTTTGAGCCCCTGCATCCTTGAACAATTTTAACCCTTCTGCCTGAGCCCAAATTCGCAAATAATTGGTCTGTAATGTTTTACGGTAGATGTAAAAAAAATATATTAAAAGTGCTTAACCACCGTTCAACCGGTAGCTGGGCAGTAAGTCATTTTTCGCTATCACCAGTAAATCGGTTGTCAGGACTCAAAGTTTGAATAGCTTGTCATTGTCTTAGCACAATTGTTATTGCCTGCCAATACGATCATAAATAATGAACTATTTCGTCTTGATCGCGTGATGAGACGTAAAAAAACATAACAGAGACGATCTTTGCTTTCAGTGAGAAAGAAAGAAAGAAAGAAAGAAAGAAAGAAAGAAAGAAGAGAAAAGGAAAGAAACAAACAAACAAAGAAGTGAAAAAGGAAAGAAAGATAGAAAGACGAAAAATAAAGAAGAAATCATAAAGAAAAAAGAAAGAAGAGAAAAAGGAAAGAAAGAAGAAAAGTAATAAAGAAAGAATCTAAAAGAAAGAAAGAAAGAGAAAAAGGAAAAGAAGAAAGAAAGAAAGAAAAAAGAAAAAAGAATTCAAAAGAAAGAAAGAAGAGAAGAAAAAAGAAAGGAATAAAAAAGAAAGATAGAAAGTAAAAAAAGAAAAAAAGGAGAAGATAAAATTATTTAACGTCTCTTGTCAATACTGAATAAATAATGAATTATTCCGTTTTGGTCACTTGGAAAGACGGGAAAGAAATCAGAGACGCTACTTTGTTTCAGTGAGAAAACGAAAGACAGAACTAAAGAAAGAATAAAGAAAGAAAAGAAGAAAGGGAAGATAGAATTATTTAAAATCTGTTTCCGTGAAATAGAAAAAAAATGTCAATTTCGCATCATTTTATTTGTACCCACTTCTTTAAATAACGACTAACATTCATAATAATGATTGCGATTGCAAGATTTTTTTAAAGCTCAAATATTTAATAATGTGATAAGAAAATGTCTTTGGATATTTCATTGTCACAGAATTCACCATGAGTTTATTCAACGATTAACTTAAGAATTAAGATTTGGCAGAAAATTCAAATCGGAAAACTGGAAAATTTCTTATAAGTATTTCCAATATCATTAAATTATATTTTTCTGTATAAAGACATTAATCTACATTCATCAGATATTAGCAACAATTCTAACTGATTCCATTTCTTATTCTTTAAATTGATACATTTTGGACACTATATTAAACAATTACGTATGATTGAATTACAATTTGTCTGTTGTAGAGCGAAAATCGAACGAGCGCAACTGAAGACGATGATATTCGTTTATGGTCAAGTTTAAATCGAGGAAATTCAATGCTTCCAAGATACTTTTTGATAGTATGCTTTTCTATGGTAACCAGGATGAGAAAAAAACACAACAAAATTATCAGCACCCTTTTGGTTTTCTTTCTTTTCTTTTTTTTTCTTTTTTCTAGGATGAAAGCGGGAAGAAAAGGCGATTTAAATTGCATTGAACTAATGAATAACGCCTTTTTTTTTTTTCATATTCACTGACTCTTCAGCGGATCCAGCTAAAAAGGAAGAAATATAAAACAGGAGTCTTTGACGTACATGAATTCTAATTACAGTTTTAATTTGACAGGAAACAAATATGTCAGCTATAAAAAATGGCAGCTGATCCTGGATGCGGACAGTCTCAGTTGCCTAACAGCAAGCGCTTGCATGACTAATAAACACGCGCCATATTTTTCAAATATATTTTACGCATATATACATAAATATATATATGTAAAATAAAAATGTATGTAAAATGTATATATACTGGCATGAAAGACTTTTATTAATTACTAAATTAATTAATTTCTTTTGTTACTTTTTACCGATAAATCGCAAGTGATTAGCAGTATGTTTTCTCAGTACATTTTATTATCTTTGAGGCCCAGTAAACAACTTAGTGTATACCCCTTAATGATGGCTGATAGAACATCCTAAGCATAGTAATGCTGAAGAGAGACCTTGCAAAAATAGAAGGCCACTAATGAAATTTGCAGCTTTCAACTCCTTCGGATTGAAAAGATTCTTTTTTTTTTTTTTTGCAAAGAGTGATTTTTATTATTACAGAAAGTTCAAAACGTCAAACTATGGTATCTGTCTATATTTCTGAGATGAGGTAGTATCTACACTTTTTACATTATTCGGACTATTGTCCTCATCTTTGTCGACATATTTATTACAACGTTTCGGCCGTTGTAAGCTCCGGCCTCCTTCAGGTGGTTGGAATGTGGAAGTTAACCCATTATTTCGCTCACTGGGATAGACAAGGAACACTATTGGAAAATTCGTAAACCTAAAGTATCAGCACATATGCTAGGCCACAAAAATCTCCTGAGCCAACAAAGCATAGAAATGAATACAATTAGGGAACCAGTAATAAGGATTGCCAGAGAAAAGCGATAATAACAACAAAAGTTGCAATATGAGCTCTGGTAAAAACATGAAACAGCAATAAAACTGCAATATGAGCACTGGTAAAAATTGTTGCTGAAGACATTAGGTTTATAATACCCAGAAACTCATATACAGTGAATAAAGGCGTTGGTTAGATCCAGTGACAGGACCAAAAGAGCGTGAGTTCAATACTCGGTTAAGGCAGTGGAGAACTTTCAGAGGAAAATTAACAGGAGATCACTGATAACTGACATCCATCAAACATGGCACGTGGAACTAGAACAGTCTACACCAGTGAGCGAAATAAAGGGTTCATTTCGACATTCCAACCACCTGAAGGGCCGAAACGATGTAATAAATATGGCGACAAAGATGAGGACAATAGTCCGAATAATGTAAATAGTGCTCAAGCTATGGAGTTAGTGATTAGTGTTGCTGCCTTTAGCTCGATTAATTACCTCAATTCAATGTGGCATTGAATTGAAATAAGGTCCAGATTTTCTTATTTGGAATTGTTTTCCCATTCTTCTTGACACTAATGGCAAAGTTCTTAGAGGATGCTTTTTATTGGAACATGCTTTCTTCAGTTCCAACCACAAGAGTTAAATTATATTGTTGTCAGGACTTTGTGCTGACCAGTCATCCAAAAGTAGAGCATCTTCATCCGTAAAAAAAACCTCCATGTTCCCTGTAATATGTGGCAAGGTTCACAGTAGTCTGGCAGATTAGTGATTAATAGTATGCTTTTCCCGATACATTTTATAATCTTTGAGGGCCAGAAAACAAATTACTGTATTTCCTTAATGTTGCATAATGGAGGATAGATCATTTTAAACATTGTGATGCTAAAATAAGCCATGCAAAAATATTTCACATTTCAGCTCTTAATTTAACAAGGAATGTTTTGAACAAGTGATTTTTATTATTACAGAAAGTCCAAAACACCAAACTAATGCCAAAGTTCTTAGAGATTGCATGGTTTTTGTTGGAGCACAGATTTCATCATCTCCAACCACAATGGTTCAATTATATTGAGATAGGTTGAAAATTTTCATCAGCAATCGACCCTATTGTTACATATGATGCGTCGCAAAGAACACCATCTTAGTAAAACCTTTATCCGTCTGGCAGACGATTAAACCGTAGTAAACTAATATGGTTTTAGCTGTTAAGATTTCCATTAACTTTTACCACTTTTCTTCTAACATTGCATTTGATGCAACCCCACACCAGTCTTTTTGGTACGTCTTGCATTGTCTCTATATTCCACTGGACTTCTTATATGTTTTCTTGCAATATATAATCTTTACAATGTAACTCAATTTTGCATTCATGATTAAAAATTATATTTTGCTACTTTTTAGAATTCTATGTTAGACGTTCTTTTGGGTACTTCAATCTTCTATACTGATGTTCTTTGTTTAATTATAGTTTTTCTTCTATAAGTCCGTTCAGAATGTTTTACGTAATACTCTGTTAAGACAGCATTCAGTTCTTGTCTGGCTGTTAATTTTGAATTGCCTACCAAGACTTTCACAAATTTTTCGTCTCTTGGCTAACGTCTTCCGGTTTTCTTTGCACTTAAAACCTCTTTAGTAAAAAAAATCTTCTGGGTTATCTGAATATTGCTTCTGGAAATTACACGTCGCGCGCGTGTGTGTGTGTGTGTGTGTGTGTGTGTGTGTGTGTGTGTGTGTGTGTGTGTGTGTGTGTGTGTGTGCCTTTCTTGCCCTCCCGTTTTCCGTGTCTCTTTTACGTCAGGAAGAGACAGGGAAATTTTTCTTTTTCGCTTTCCCCGATTTCCGTCACTTTTGTCTGACTCCTTATCTATCTATCTATCTATCTATCTATCTATCTATCTATCTCAGCCTATTCACATCTATCTATCTATCTATCTCAGCCTATTCATATCTATCTATCTATCTATCTATCTATCTATCTATCTATCTATCTATCTATCCCAGTTTGTTCATATCTATCCCAGGCTGTTTCTATCTATCTATCTATCTATCTCTTTTTACTACTTTAGGTTTTTATTGAATTGATGAGCATCCCTTACTTTCTTTCAATTTCTCTGTCTCTCTCAGTCTCTCTCAGTCTCTCTCTCTCTCTCTCAGTCTCTGTATCTCTCTCCTTCTCTCTCTCGTTTATCGTATTTTTAAAAAATATAGATAAAATTAGGAACCCCGCTCTTTCCCCCCTTTCTCTCACATCAGAATGTGGTGTCATTTTTAAACACACCAAAATTCCCTCCCACACCATTGACTCAGTTCTCCTTTTGTTAGACTTTGTTCTTTTTCTTATTATTATTTCATCCTTTAGCCATTTTTAATTCATTAATATTGCCTTGTCTCTATACGCCAACCACAAATACTTCCCAAGAAAAGCGTCGTCATTAATATTTGATAAACGTCGCCCCTATATTTAAAAAAACGATCAACTAATTCTATTTAAAGCGACGAAATAGGAGATCAAGCATTTAACAACACGAAAAATAAAATCGAAGAAACGAGTTCGATTTCAGGCTGATACAGTTTTTGATTAAGTTTAATGAATTTAATGCTTCTTCACTTAACTATAAATAAAGCTAACGGACTTACTGGATGTTTTAATTGTGAATATCAATCCGCAGAGGACAAATCTGAATTTAAATCAGTAATTCGCGCCCCTAAATTTAAAATGCAAAATTGAGAACCCGAACACAAAAACATTCTAGCAGATCTAACATTATTGGAAGCTTCTATAAATATAATTAAGTTTTAAGACATTTTTATGTTTATACGTTCTTTTTATAGATGGTGTTTATCAATCCACCCACGGGGATCGAATGTGGCACAAGGCCTTTTTAATGTGGGTATGTCTGAGCCCGTAGGCACAGCCAAAAATAAAACCCATCTAAACCCGTCCAAGCAGGCTAGTTCCGTCAACCTCCCCGAACGAAACCCCACCCTTCGGCGGAGCTTCGTCCGGGTTCCCCTCTGCAAGCAGAGAGTTCGACAGACACCCGACCCGGCAGCTCACAAAGCGCAGATACTACACTTTGACCCTAGCCACCGGGCCGAGCGGGTATTCTTTTTATGGATGGTATTTATCAACCTTTTTAATGTGGGTATGTCCGAGCCCATAGGCCCACCCAAAAATAAAACCCATCCAAACCCGCCGAGGCGGGTCAGTTCCGTCAACCTCCCCCACCGAAACCCTACCCTTCGGCAGAGCTTCGTCAGGGTTCCTCTCTGCAAGCAGAGAGTTCGACAGACACCCGACCCGGCAGATCACAAAGCGCAGATACTACACTTTGATCCTAGCCACCGGGCCGAGCGGGTATTCTTTTTATGGATGGTATTTATCAATTCACCCACAGGAATTGAATGCGGCACAAGGCCTTTTTAATGTGGGTATGTCCGAGCCCGTAGGCCCAGCCAAAAATAAAACCCATCTAAACCCGTCCAAGCGGGCTAGTTCCGTCAACCTCCCCGAACGAAACATTCACCACTATAATCAAATCTGATGTGCTTTTGTCGGGCTGTCGGTTTCCTTGGAACTGATCTGTTTGACCCTCATACTTCGAATTCGACGGGAGAGAGCCGAGTATATATATATATATATATATATATATATATATATATATTATAAATTAATTGATTTAAAATGTTTTTTGCTACACAGTTCTAACCATGTTTCAAAAATGGAAGCTGAAAGCTCCGAATTTAATTTTGTAATTAAATTAAAGACATTATGGAACTAATGTCTTTAATTTAATTACAAAATTAAATTCATCCTCAAGCGAATTTACTGTTCTTTCTATATATATATATATATATATATATATATATATATATATATCAAAATGATACAAGAGATTTAGAGAGTTTCCCCATTGATTAAAAAGGAAAGCACTTTCGATCGATTCTAATATTCCTTCTAAATAGTTCGATATGAAGTAGTACTAGAAAACCTGGAACAACTTTTGACATGTTCTAGAATATTCAGTATGTTTCGTTATTTCGAAAGAAATATATTGTTTTTTAATTTGTTTTATTTTTTTGGGGGGGGAGAAAGTCCCAATACTATATCTTAATTAATTTTGGTACAAGTGACACTGTTTCATAGGATTTTAAAAAAGTAGTATTTATTACCGACGACCAGCCGGTGTTTTGTTTGGTACCTGAGTCCATTTTACAACCTAGAGTTCCACAGGACACACATGAATGCAAGGTATAGCTCTGGGTATGTAAAAATTTTAAAAAAAAAGCACTGATCCGAAAGTAACGACTGTAGAAATACCAGAAGGAAAACGAAATAAGAGAAAAAAAAGACAAAAAATATATTTTTTTTTTATGTAGGAGCGGGGGGTTGATTCCGGCGAACTATGATCAAATAGGCAATCAGTCTCATAGAAATGAAATTGGCAAACAACCTACCAGAGGGTCGTGTGGGCTCTGCAGACATGCTAAAAGAACCCGCGGGTGGATTGCAATGGAGCCAACATTTTACTCTAGTTTGGTGCATTTAAAACAAATGTTGCTTTTTTTCATTCCATTCTCAAATCAATTCGCTAAAACTTCTCTAAAATTTGTGCAATATGTTTGTTTAGAAACAGAGAGAAAGAAACAATGTAGACATAGGAATCAACATTGTATGGTCACTATCAGTTTCATGCTTTTTATGCAATCTTCAGACTCCAGGATTATATTAGGTTGGTGCAAAAATAATGACGTATTAATGTCGTTTTTTGACGTAAAACATACGTAAAAAAAACGACATTATTACGTAATTATATAACCTAATATGAAGATTGTAATGCTGATTTCTATTTTCACACTGTTTCTTTTTCCCTCTATCTCTCTCTCTCCCTCTCTCTTCTTTTACTATCTTTCTCTCTCCCCATATATATATATATATATATATATATATATATATATTAAAATATATATATTACATTAAAATGTTTCCCGATTCACACTCTATAGCGAGGAAAACGGTGAATTAGCCCGTCAAACCATGCGATAGAGTGTCGCTTGTATTTTACAGCGGAAAATGTGGGAGCAAAGAAAGTTTCTTGCCGGAAAAAAAGGCCATGTATTTTACATGATATGCCAAAGACAGAATGTCCAAATTAGATACAAATCAGTCACAAGAGTCGCCATAAAAGTATTTCGGCTCTGCTAATATTGTGTGTCCTCACCCAGTTGTCAACGAATGAAAAAAATGCTCCGTCGATAAACGCAGTTGGTGTTATCATATCCGCCAAGTTTCGCCCTGGATTTTGGTCTTGATTTTATTTTACGGTTTATCAACTTTTTGCAGGTTATTAAAAGACATAAAATATTTTTAGGATTGTCCGAATGTTTTCATTTAAATAATAATGATTTACTGATAAAGACCTACTACTTAATCCATAGCTAGGAGAGAAGAGCATGATTGATACACTTCACAAAGATACAGTGCTCTTAAGTAAATACGCCGAAGCTGACTGGAATCGAAACTCATTATCCATTACACCAGCCGCAGATGCAAGTTTAAATCACCTGGTATTCCCAAACGCTTACTCATCTAGGGAGTGCCCAGGTACGGCGTTGCTTAGCTTCGGTTATCGTAACAGAACCTGTGTTTCAAATTGATATGGTTGTACGCTCTCTTCGCTCTGGAAGAGGAATAACTCCGTGTAAGGAACTTTTGAAAGAGACAATTTGCTACGTCCACGGCAAGTCAGCAGAGATTTTGGCAAAACGTTTCTACAAAGATTTCAATGGAATTGGAAATATGGATGCAGATATCTCACGTGAATTGGGAACGAACTTTAGAAATTATCACAATGTTACACCATTTTAACCAGGAAGAGCAAAACTCGTGCTTTTGCGTCGCATTCTTACAGGTTATGAAAACATGGGTTTTGCATGGCAACGGAAAGCGAAAAATACAGGGGTTATTACACTATTAAAAAAAAACAAACAACAAAAAAAACAGTGCTGAGATCAAAACTAGTGACCATTCCAGGAAAGTCGTTGCTTTGTGTTTGACGGAATATGAAAAAGCTTTGGGTCATGTCGCAAGTTATGAACATGGAAGGAACATTAGCCGAGACGTTTACTGCCAGCAATTTAATCGGATAAACAAATGAGTCGAATGTGTCCTGTTTTGGTAAAAAGGGAAAAGAGTTTTTCTCCAGCATCCCAATAAAAAAAATCCTCTGCAGACCAACTCAATTATTATGATAAGTATTATTCGAGATTCGCCACTGGTTTCAGATGTGCGCATAATTTAATCTATAGAGGAAAAGATCTTAGAAAAGAAACAAAAATGAATTTTAAACCTAATAATAGAAGCTCGTGAAACGATGTCAGAGGAGATTCAGCGTCAAACATTTTCGAAACTATAATTCATTTTGATAAGTCATCGATATGTTGCAATGGTTAATATTTGCTCCTCATGAAAAAGTAAGAGCCAATTAGATTCTAACGTATTACTCCGCTTACAATGTGACATGCGCAGGGATTGAGATCAACAGATAGATAGATAGATAGATAGATAGATAGATAGATAGATAGATAGATAGATAGATAGATAGATTACCGCGCTGAGAAAGAAAAAAAGAAGAAAGTACAAGCGTTGTACAAGTGATATCAACCAAGACAGAAATATTTCAGAACTTAATAAACCCAATATTTCTTTTCCATCTTAAGAACAGAACAATTTCCGACGCTTGCCCTCTGCTCGTCAACTAGAGACAAATCAATAGCACTGAAAATATGAACTGTCCTCTTTCTACATCAATTCGTTTTTTGAAGTATAATTGTCGTAATGGTCGGAACAGTCACAAAAGAATGTGAGAAGCCGGCTTCCTTAGAATCTGGATTATCTTTTGTTATGAAAGACCTTTTTTATGACTGTATCTATTGTTTTAGATAAAATGACTAATAACTGCGGTTAAAGATAGCCAAACAAATGAAATGGAATAAAAGAAAATTCATAGGGGAAAACATATTTAAGTAGCTTAGGAATAGTAAAGAACTAATTAGAAAGAACAACCGATCGATCGACGTAGACACACAGGCACACACATATCGGTATATGCGTGTGTGTTTATGTGTGTCTATAGAAATTTGCATTAAAAATACATCAAGTGTTATGTATTTTATTCCTTTATTTTTTTCTCATTTCAGAACATTTTTTCTGATTTCCTGGATATGTTTAAATATAAATTGTACTGGAAATCAATATAAATTATGGAAATGCTATGGTAAATTACCCACGCACGCATGGACTCTGCCAGCTATAAATAGGAGCAGGTACTGCCTTTTGGAGATGGAAGTTTCCAGCAGTCAGCTCTGA